ACAACTGACCAACTACTTTGCCCACTGCTGTATTACTTTGTGGTCAGCTTGCTGCTGTTGACGATAACATTAGTTGTAAACACTTCCAGAAAGGAAAAATTCAAAATGCTAAACGTATTTCACTGTCATTTTTGAAAAAGCGATGAAACGAAAAAATCAAGCAAAAAAGTTACGAAAGTAGGTCAAACCTACGGAAGTTTAGTTAAAATAAAAACTAAAGTTAAACGTTAAGAAAAAAAATAAAAATAATCTGCATTTTTTTTTCAGGACGGCTGCACCTCTAATGATGTCAGCATTTGGCTGGTCCAATCTCACAACCGTCAAAGTCAGCTCCTTTACACAGGCTGTTGTTGGAGCACTAAGTTTAATGATATTCATTGGTTTTGCTTGCGGGAAACTCACGAAAATGTAAGTAAACACATCTCTTCTCAAAATATAAGACAAAGGATATCCGAATAAGAGTGCTATTAAATGAAGAGACTCGATTTTAGATTAAGCGAACGATGTGGTGCACTGATCGCAATACTTCTTTTCGAACTATTTTTCATCTTAACTTACCCATGGCAATTTCTGGGTGGCACAATAAGAGTTAAAGACGGTAAGAAAACATTTTCTCCCGAAAGTAGCTTTTTATAAGTTTAAAAAAATTGTATAAGATTGTTTTATTTAAGAATTTTTTCTAAAATAAAACAAAAATATTCCATAATTCATTCACTCATTCTCCTTCTACTGGGGAGGCAGAAACACTCAGGACTATTTCGAGTGGAGCACGCTCTAATTATGGTAAATTTTGGGCAAATCAAGAATGATTTTGTCCTTGTCGTTAAACTGCGTGGTTATGGTAGATGTACTTAATCGTCGCCGCAAAATAGGGGCAAAAGAAGTATCGACGAGATACATTCGCGAGACAGCGTCGAAGGAAGACGTCGAGTAATTTCGGAAAATGCAGCACTCAGATAGCGTCCACACCGCTTGCCGCCGTAACGAATAAGAACGAATGCCCTGCCCAAACAGCACGATAATACGGACAAAAACAGAAATATG